CGATGACGATCATCATCATTAAACTTTCCGCATCCAACAATGAATATGAATAATAATAATAATAATAATAATAATAATAATATTTTCTTTTCTTTTGTCTCATTTTTCTCTCATTTTCTCTTACTAAATGTATATATACACACATACAATCACTCAAACATACACACGCATATAATATATAAATAAAAAGCTTTTTTTAATGTTAATAATAATTAGTAAAATTTTCAGTTTCATTATTAGTTCTTGTAAACCATAAATGATTTTTGATTTTATCTCTCTTTAAAATACCAGCTTCTGATCTAATATTATTACGAGTAAATTCCACCTTCTCATTATCAGAAAAGATTTCACATGGTGGTAGAAATTCTTTTCTTTCTTCGCAAAGATTATGTAAAATACAACAAGCTGATACAATCAATGCTACAAATTCAATTGACGCTTCAAAAGTAATATTAAGACATTTCCATCTAGATTTTAACAATCCATAACTTTGTTCTATTTTTTTTCTTGTGTGTGAATGACACAAATTATAATACGATTCCTCTCTTGTGAGAATCGTTCCTTGATCATCGTCATTGTATGGTGTCAGCATCCAATTTAAATTAGGATAACCAACATCACCTAAGAGATAAAATTGTGATAAATTATTACCACTACTATTGCTACTAATAATTTTATCGTCATCAATAATATTATTACTACCGCTACTACCAAAATTATTACTACTGGAATTATCATTACCAGCACTATTAATGTTATTGCTATTATCGCTGTTATTATTGTATATATTGTTCATAATACTATATATCGGTGATCTTGTAAACACTATATTATCTTGCGTCGAACCAGGATAACCAACTGACATATCAATAAATTTCTTTTTATCATCCACAACTGCTTGTATTATTATTGAATAATGGTTTTTTTGATGATTATAATAATTTGTTGCAAAAGTCGATGGCGATTTGATTTTAATATGACTACATCCTATAATACCAAATATTCCTGGAAAATCTGCCACCTTACTAAACCCATCACTAATCTCCAAGCATTCACTCTCATTCACTGGAAGTCTATCGACCAAAAAAAAAAAAAAAAAAAAGGAATTGTAATTAAAATAAATTGATTGTATGAGATAAACAAATGAAAGAAGGATGCTTGGGATTCGTTAAATCAATCATTTATTTTTTAAATACCTGATTTTTTCTTTCAAAAATCTTTTATTTATAGCATTCACCACATCCCTTAAAACATATCCGGTTGTAGATTCTCCCATTCCAAACCTATTTCCAAGTCTGTTGAAATTTTCACCTGTACCAAAGAACCATAGTGTTGCAAGAATTTTATGGTTCCATGATATAAATCCTGGTGATGGTGATGGTGATGTTGGTGTTGGTGTTGTCGCTAATGATGTCAGTATTGGTTGTTGACGCGTATTTGCACTATTAATAAATAAGCCAATATATAGCGATAATAGTTTGGGTAAACTTGGTGGTCATTGCTTTAAAGTAATGGT